GGGTGAGGAGGGAACACATGAGGATCATGATGAGGAATCGGGCTTGATGATTGATGATCAGGACAACGCCGAGGACGATGACAAGCAGGACGGCACCGATAATGCCCTGTGAACACACTGCTCCGAGGGAGGTGCCCCACTGTCAAGGCACAACGAATGCGACTCTCATATTTACTCGATCTCATCTCCGGGCCCCCGTCCTTCCTTCCCTACCCCTCGCAAGGCCTCCCTCCTCGTGCCGACTTCGACGTTGGTTTCTGTCACCGCGGGGTTTCCGAGACGCCGGACCGTTCCACATCGGCCGATGTTGGGTCGCCGGCGGCGTTGAACATCTGAGCATTTTCTTAGGGTGGAGGGCCCAGGGTGAAATCCATATCGGACCTCGAAAATCAATCTGTCTTGTGATTCACCTCATGCAGATTCAAATTTCGAAAATCCATCGAAACGGCATTTCAGATCTCACCCTTTGCCCTCCACCCAAAGAAAATGCTCGGAACGTAGAACGGCGGCGGTGGGGTCGCCGCCTGTCGGCACGACGCGCACGTGCCGCACTCCGCCCCCTCCTTCTTCCCAACGCCACCGAAGCACGAAGGCTGCCGAGGCACTGAAGAGGAGGAGGACGACGAGGAGAAAGAGGATGGGTACGGTGGGAGCATTGGAGAAGGAAGCATTGGATAAGGAATCCAGGGTCTGGATGCCAGCGGAACACCAATTTATGTTCGGCCATGGACATCACCGCCGCCCTCATCAGACAAGGAACCCTCCAGGGTCTGAAGCCTCCTGGGCACATTCCCCAACGCACGCCCCCACCGCACTGCAGGGGTTGCATCTGTGGACGTGTCGGCTGGGCGCCCCGGGCGTTTCGCCCGAGGCTTCCTCGCGTCACTCCTGGTTCGCGCCAGAAGGAGGAGTAGGAGGAGGAGGAGGAGGAGGAGGAGGTGGAGGAGGAGGATGAGGATGAGGAGGAGAAGGAGGAAGAGGAGAAGGAGGAGGAGGAGGGGGGGGGGAGGAGGGGGAGGGGGAGGGGGAGGGGGTAACAAAAACAGGGCTCTGGCTGCAGTGTTGCCAGCATTCGCTTTTCTAAGAAAAAATGGCAGCAGTTACAATGGTGTGGGGGGGGGAAGGAGGAGGAGGAGGAGAAGGAGGAGGAGGAGGAGGAGGAGGAGGAGGAGGCGGAGGAAGAGGAGGATGAGGAGGGGGGAGGGGACGGCCCTATTTCGAAATCAGGCTCTCGCCTCAGCGCAACAAACATTCGTCTTCGAACACTGCGACATTTGCAAGGATGGGCGGGGTACCTTTTTCATGGGAGTTCGCATCAGTCCGCGCCGCGCGCATTCGTCTCAACCACTTGTAGCACCTATGAGGGAGGGGAAGGCGGTTCCTGGTCCAAACGGGACTCTCGCCGTAGCGCTGCGCACATGCGTCGTTAACTATTGCGCAAATTGCAAGGTCGGAGGGCGAGTGCTTTTTTAACTGAGGCTCTCGCCTCAACGCCGCGCTAATTCGCCCTGAACGTTAGTAACAACTGCAACGACGGATGGCGGTTAACTTACTTGTTCAAACGGTCGTTCTCGCTGAACCGTGCCTTCCAAGTAACGGCCAGACTGTTAAGCTGAAGTATCACCTGCACGGGTGATGGGGTGGTTCTTTCTCAAACTTCGTCAACTTCAGTAGCCAACCATTGAATGATTCCTGCGCGCCATGTCGATAACACAACCGCCCACAGCTCACATCGACGGCGGTGGGCAACGATACGGCAATCTCGCAGATGCCCTCGGTCTGAGGCGA